CTGATGGAGTTCTTGGCTCCCAGCATCTGCCTGACCTGGCCTGGACATTGGGGGCCATCTGGGAATAAATCGTCAAATGGAAGAGCTCACCATCTTTCCCTCTTTGTAGCACTGCTTTTCAAATACATAAATATAAATTAGTTTTAAAAGAAAATGAAGACCTGGCATAATAGCATAGTGGTGAAAGTCCGTGCCTTGCATGTTCCGGTCCCATATGGGCACCAGTTCTAATCCCGGCAGCTCCACTTCCCATCCAGCTCCCTGCTTGTGGCCTTGGAAAGCAGTGGAGGATGGCCCAAGGCCTTGGGACCCTGCACCCATGTGAGAGACTTGGAAGAATTTCCTGGCTCCTGGCTTTGGATAAACTCAGCTCCGGCCATTGTGGTCACTTGAGGAGTAAATCATCGGACAGATGATCTTCCTCTCTGTCTCTCCTCCTCTCTGCATATCTGACTTTCCAATAAAAAAAATAAATAAAATCTTAAAAAAAAAAAGAAAAGAAAATGGAATGCCAACTGGCTATTTAATGATGCTAAAAGATAAATATTCTCTTCCATTCTTTTTGAAGTTATATTTACATACTGGGTTGTGTTTACTTTCATAAAGATGTATTTATTTACTTGAAAGACAGTTACAGAAAAAGAGATCTTTTGTCTGCTGGTTCACTCCCCAAAATGGTCACAATGGCCAAACCTGGACCAAGCTGAAGCTGGGAGCCAGGAACTCCGCCTGGGTCTCACGTGAATGACAGGGCCAAGTGCTTGGACCATCCTGTGTTGCTCTCAAAGATGCATGCACAGGCTGGGTAGGAAGTGGAGCTGCTGGGGCTTGAACTGGCACACCGACAGGGGATGTCCGTGTCACAGGGGGCAGCTTCACTTGCTGTGCCACAACACTGGTCCCTAGGTTGACTTTATAATAGCAGCGTGTATTAAAATTACATGATGTCTGGGATTTTCTCCAAGAAAAGACGGGATATGTTTTCTATCTTAATTGTGGTGGAAAAATGGGTGTCTGGCATTGTCAGGGCTATTTTAACTGTGTCCTTAAGATGTGTGCTTTAGGAGCAGGCACTGTGGCCTAGTGGGTAAAACCTCCGCCACCTTCATCAGTTGGAAGCTGCTTTGGAACTCAAAGTGGGCACTGAACATGGGATGTGGGCATCCCATGTGGAAGCTGAATGCCCACCTGCTGTTTGACCTTCTGTGTGGACTTTCTGCGCATGATCTTGGTCAAAAGTCTGAGAAGCGATTCTGCATGAACTTTTTAAAAGAAAAGATCTATTTAAAAAAATAAAGACCTAAAGGGATGGCGTTGTCATGTAGCAGGTGGAGCCACCACTGTGACAACGGCATCCAAGGTAGGATTGGAAAGCGGAGGATGCTCCAAGTGCCTGTGGCCCTGCGACCCACCTGGGAAATGTGGATGGAACTCCTCGCTCCCCATTTTTGCCTTCTGGGAGCGTAAAATAAATCCTTTTTAAAAAATTTCTTCATTTTTATTGGAAAGTCAGATATACAGAGAGGAGGAGAGACAGAGAGGAAGATCTTCCGTCCAATGATTCACTCTCCAAGTGAGCGCAATGGCTGGAGCTGAGCCAATCTGAAGCCAGGATCCAGGAACTTCTTCCGGGTCTCCCATGCGGGTGCAGGATCCCAAATCTTTGGGCCATCCTCGACTGCTTTCCCGGGCCACAAGCAGGGAGCTGGATGGGAAGTGGAGCTGCCGGGATTAGAACTGGCGCCCACATGGGATCCCGGGGTGTTCAAGGCGAGGACTTTAGCCACTAGGCCACACCGCCAGGCCCTAGATTATTTTTTAAATGTGTATTTTACTGTATGCAAAGCGCACTTTAATACATGTGACTTTTATTTAAAGATTCATTTATTTTTATTGGAAAGTCAGATATGCAGAGAGGAGGAGAGACAGAGAGGAAAATCTTCCATCTTCTGATTAACTCTCCAAGTGACTGCAATGACATCCTGGCACGTTCAAGACGAGGACTTTGGCCGCCAGGCCCCATACACGTGATTTTTAAAATGGAGGCAGAGGAGGAAGTAGGCGGGATGCCCCGGTCCACACCTGAGTCTGTGACTGGAGAGGTGCCCAGCAGGGAGCTCCATGCCAGGGAGGGCACAGCCCTGCTGGGTGTGGCCAGTGTCACTCTGATCCTGGGAGCAGGAAGGGCTTCCGTCTTTGTCCACTGTAATTATGCGTGTGACCTAGGGGAGCTGGCTGCCTGGCCCAGCTTGGTCCTGGCTGTGCCATTTGCCAACCATGTGACTTGGACAACAACTTAAATTTCTTTTTTCTTATTTTTTTCTCAGATGATATACAAGAAAAGTTTCTTCTGTTGCTTATTTTTTTTAAAGATTTATTTATTTTTATTGGGTCCTGTAATGTTGATATTAATAGGAATACATAATAGGAATACATAATACAATGTGATGCGCTGCACATTGCATCAAGGTGTGGCGTAAGTGACACAATTCTGAGAACCCACTCTAGTGCCACCCAAGCTCCTACAGCTGGAATCCGGGTGCAGCTCCCCACAGTCCCTTCCTACCAGGACACAGGCAGCTGGGCAGGCCCCCGGCCCACAGAGCCCGACAGTCCCTCCTGTGCCCTGAGCTGGAGGGGTCCCATGGCACTCAGCAGCTGTCCAGGGGAGGGAGGCTGCTGAGAAGGGTGCGCACCCCTAAGCCCAGGCTGACGACGGGCTCCAGTGCCCTCTGCTGTAGGTGGCAGGAACTGCAGCAACACTGTCACCCAGCCTGGGGAAGCCACTGCTGTCCTCCCTCCTTGGGCAAGGATGTTGCGACTCTCCAGGTCCAAGCGGCTGGCTCAGGGTGGCACAGCTGGCACCTTGAGTCCACGTCATCTGAGAAGGGGCGGCTCCAGATGTAAGCTCACAGGACACCTCGCTGTATTCTGGGGTGCTGACTTAGAGGATGGGAAAGGGAGACAGGGAGGATTCCTGCGGCAGGACAAGGGACTCTCCACAGTAATGACCCTCGCTGGGTTCCCCGATGGGGTGGGGCTGGCAGGGGCAGAGGCTGCGCTGTGCATCATGGACACTCAACTTGTTCCGACTGGAAAAACGTGCAGGAAGGCGCCTTCCCCAGTCTGGGCTCCTGTAGCTGGGACTGAGCCCCCGCCTCAGGCAGGCATGCAGTGAAGACCTCTTGTCCCTTCCAGAACCTTCCTCTATGTATGTGTGTGTGTGCAGACTGAGGTCAAGGCTCTGGGGGCAGTCAGGGTCTGGACCCAGGTGGCCAGGCAGGACCACACCACCCTGAGGGTGGCTGCCTTGTACACTTCGTTTGCAGATGACATAGTAGGGCTATTTTGAGCAACAAAACACTCCACACCCTCTTAGCCCCGCCTGGCCTAGCAGAAAGGAGATGGGGGAGCTACAGCCGCCCATCTCTTTCTTCCTGCCTAGGGCTGTGATAATACGGACACGTTGTGGGGTACAGGCGGCTTGGGAAAAAAGCACGCCCACAATCCAGTCCCCATTCTCGGATACCCATCTCCGCATTGCCATGGGAGAGAAGCAGCTATATTCCAGTGCCGAGAGACGGAAAACGAGCGTCGGGCTCTACTTCCTACAAGTTTTTTCCTATTGTGCCTGAACTGCTCTAGACACTTGGGTATGACCACGCCAGGGGAGGCGGACCCTGAAAAAAAACATGACCCCCTTCAGACTCTCCTGTTACTCTACAGGGCGGGAAGGGAGGACGCTGGGGGGAGGGGAGAGGCGAAGCTGCTGGGGGGGCGAGGGCTGCACCACAGCCGGTCCTGGGGGTCTTCTCCCTGCCCAGATGGGGGCAGGGGTATGTGTCCTCACCTCAGCCCCCCCCCTTTTTTTTTGCATGTCAGGCCTCGGAGGGCAGAGTCCTGGGACGGCTGTAGTCCCTCAGAAGGAAAAGATGGAAGATCGTGCGTCCTCTGCATTGCCTAATTGACGCTTTGTGTGTGTGTGTGTGTGTGTGTGAGGGGTGAGCACACCTTCCTAAACATTCAAACTGCAAAGTTTTTCAAGCGAGTGCAGAGGCGGGGAAACGCCCCACCCGCACGAGCCTTGCCTTTGCGCGCACGGCCTGACCCCCTTAGGCCATAGCCTCCCTTCACGCTGTGACCCCAGCACTGTTTTTGAGTTTGTTGAGGGTGGGGGGGAAGGCCGGGTCCCGGCAGCTCTGGGAACCCATTTCACAGATGTGAAAAGCGTTTCTCGTCAAAGGTCACTGGGGCGCGCAGGACGCCACGGGGCGCTGGCCCCTCGGTCTCCGGCTGCAGGCTCCCCGCTCCCCCGTGCTTGGTCTCCCGGCTCGGCTCCCCGCTTCCCTGCTCGGTTCCCCGCTCCCCGCTCGGTTCCCCAGCCCCGTCCCCGCTCGGCTCCCCGCTCCCCCGTGCTCGGTCCCCCCGCTCCCCGCTCCCCCGTGCTCGGTCCCCCCGCTCCCCGCTCGGTCCCCCGGCTCCCTGCTCCCCCGTGCTCGGTCCCCCCGCTCCCCGCTCCCCCGTGCTCGGTCCCCCCGCTCCCCGCTCGGTTCCCCGGCCCCCCGCTCCCCGCTCGGTCCCCCGGCCCCCCGTGCTCGGTCCCCCCGCTCCCCGCTCGCCGCCCTCCCAGCCGCCGCCGCGCCGGGTCCACGTGTTGGTGTCTGTGTGAGGAATGGGGACGGGGGCGGTGCCGCCGGAGGGGTGGGGTCGGCGCGCGCGTCACGGGCCGGGCGGCCCAATCAGCGGCGCGCTCGCGGCCCCGGCGCTGGTATTGGGGCAGCGAGGGGGCAGTTCTCTAGAACGCGGTCTCCGGGAGCCAGCGGGGAAGAAAGAAGCCGAGCGGGCGGAAGGCGCCCTCCCCGCCGCCTGGGCCCGGGCACCGGGTGCCGGGGCCGGGGTCCTTCCCGCCTCCCCGCGCCCGCCGGCCGCTTTGTTTTCGTCCCCGCCTGTGCGCTCCGCGCGGGGCGAGAGAGCCGGGGAGACGGAGGTGCGGGTGGGCTCCCGCCGAAGCTGACCGGAGAACGCGGCGGCAGGAAGGGCGGCCGAGCGCGCCGGGACTCGCGGGGGACCCAGGCGTCCGGCCGCCGGGAGGGCCGCGTGACGAGCTGCAGCGGGGAATCGCGGAGCTCTGCGGCCCGGGGCGTGCGGACCCCGCGAGGGCTTGAGGAGAGAGACCTCCCCGTCCAGGGGGGGTGGCGATGTTCTCCACGCCCGTGGGCTCTTCGGGCAGCCAAGGCATCCGGCCGCTGGGACCCGGGCCCCCTCGGTCGCCACCTCTGCGGGCTGCTCCATGGAAACTCTGTGTCCCCCTGCCCGGCTGGCGGTGCCGGCGTCCCCGCGAGGGTCGCCCTGCTCCCCCACACCCCGGAAGCCGCGTCGGGGGACCCGGGAGTTCTCTCCGCTGTGCCTGCGTGCCCTTGCCTTCTGCGCCCTCGCCAAGCCCCGGGCGTCCTCTCTGGGCCCGGGATCGGCGGAGTCGCCGCCGCCACCGCCACCGCCGCAGCGAACACCGGTGCTGCCGGGCCCTCGTACCCCGCCGCGCTCCGGCGGCTGGGCCTCGGATGGCCTGAAGCACCTCGGGGGACAGGCCGGGCGGGCCAGCGAGCCGAAGCCCCCGGCCGGCCAGGATGCCGACGATGCCGTGTGCCTCGGCCGTGGCGACGGAGAGGAAGACGAGGGCGGAGGCAGTTTCCCGCACTTCGTCGCTCGCTCCTGCGCACCTCCGGGCCAATGCCCGGAGCCCCGGCGCCCTCGGGAATCTCCGACCAGCTCCGCCTCGACTCCGCCTCGGCCGGCTCCGGTTCTGCAGTCCCAGCCGGGCGCAGCCAGCAGCCCGCCTCCGGAGCGCGACTCCGGGCCTCCGCTGCCACCTGCGGGCCTCTCCTCGGCCGAGTGCGCGGGTCCCGGGCCCGCCCCGGAGCCATCTCCGCTGGACCAGGCCGCCGCCGTCGACCAGGAGGCCCCGCCGAGCGCCCCGGAGGCCGGGGCCGCCGACCCCTCGACGGCCACCGCCGTGGCCGCCGAGCTCCGCCAGGACCATTTCGACCGTCTCATCCGCCGCTCCAAGCTCTGGTGTTACGCCAAAGGCTTCGCCCTGGACACGCCGCCCGTGCGCCGGGGGCCTGAGCGGCCGGCGGCCAAAGGGCCGGCGCGGGGAGCGGCCAAGAAGCGTCGGCGGCCTGCGCCCCCGCAGCGCAGCGCGCAGCCCCGCCGGCCCGCGCCGACGCTGCCCACCGCCAGCACCTTCAGCCTGCTGGACTGCTTCCCCTGCCCGCCGGCCCTGGTGGTGGGCGAGGACGGAGACCTGGGGCCGGCGTCCTCGCTCCGCCTGCAGGGCAACGCCAGGCCGCCGCCGGCCCACCCAGTGTGGCGGTGGCAGATAGGGGGGCCCGCCGTCCCTGAGCCCCCCGGCCTCAAGTTCTGGGGGATCAACTTGGAGGATCCCTGAGCGCGCGAGGCCCAGGGCACCTCCCAAACTGCAGGCTGGTTGGAGTGGGGGAAGAGGAGGCTCGCCGGGCGGATTGGCCCGGCACCGTCTGGTTCAGTGGACGAGTGACAGCGATCTTCAAGTACCTAAGGGGTCGGCGTGACGTCCCCTCCCCTTCGGCGAAAGCTTTACCGAAAAAGGCCGAGTGTCACAGATTGCATCCCTCCCCCTCCCCCTCGGATCTCCACCCCACGGGTAGCGAAGGAGACCACCGCTCAAAGACCAAAAGAAGAGACCGTCCATGGTGATGGACAAACCGGTTGTTTCCGCGTCGGTGGGCGAGCCTGGGGGTGCGGGGGCCGGGGTGGGGGCGGGGAGGTGATTGGCAGCTCCCTGGGGGCATCCCCCACCCCCACGGCCCAGGCCTTTAACCCTTCACTCCGCCTCAGGCCTTCCCGTGCACGCTGAGCGCCGCCGGGGCCGGGGGGAGGGGAGGAGTAGTTGGAGCCCAGGGAAGATTCCGCCCCCCCCACCCCAAGTTCAGGTGACCCCGAGTTGGTCAGATGTTCAGCCCTAACCACCAGCTTTTCCCTTTTGTCCTGTGTTGGGAGTTTACCTTCGAGTTTGCTGCTTGCTTTGGGTTCCCAAGGTCTGGTGGGTGAGAGACCCTCCCTCCACCTGCCCCAGTTTACCCTCCCTGATAAAAGGGACAGGGCTGAGTGGCCATTCCCTGTCACAAAATGTTGCTTTCGCCTGGGGATGGGGCCTGTGGCACCCCAGGGAGAGTAGTGGAAAGTGGGAGAAATCAAGATCGGACAAAATGAGTTCCGCTTGGAAGCCATCACCGACGGATGGAGAGAGGGGCCGAGGGAAGACGCCCAAGCTCTGCCCTTTGAGGGGGCGGCAGGGCAGCCCCGGGAGCTGCAACCGAGCTCCCAGGGGGCACGGCGTGGGGTTGAGAGGGCCTGGGGCCAGCGGAGGTCCTTTCAACCTCCCCTTCAGCTGCGGGCGTTTAGGGCGCTGTCAGGGGTCTGATGGATCCGAAGGGGGCAGGGCCAGGGGATTAGGGTTGGGGTCAGAGGTTGTGTTTTCCAGGCCGAATGGAGGGACAGGCCCTTGAGTCAGACAGGGGTGGCCTCGCCGGCCCTCCCCTGCCCAGGTGAGGTTAGTGCATGCCAGCAAAGGGGCGCGATGAGCCCCGCGGCACTAACAAGCGACACCCTCTTCCCCCCCAAGAGGGGTGAAGGCGGAAGAGTCCCCAGTGTGATGCCGGGGAAGGACTTGTCTCCTTTTCTGTGAAAATGCCATGTAAAAAGTTGTTATTGTTTGCATAGAGCAGATTCTTGAGGAAAACTGTGTTTGGAGCTCAAAAATATTGTTTGTTGGAAAAACTGTCTCCTCTCCTTATTCTTGGCCTGGGGGTGAGGGTGGGCGCGGGGTGGGCGCTGCTCCCTCCTTAACATCTGGCCTTTATGAACCCTACTGACCTCCCCTCCCCCCTCCAGCTGTGCTGTGGGGAGGGGGAGGGCAGTGGGAGGAGGGATGGGAAAGTGTGTCTTCGTGTCCCGGCCAGGGTTGTTGTGGGGAGCCACTCATCAGGCCCCCCCAAAATTGGAGAAGGGGAGGACGGGAGCCGGCAGGGGTGGGTGGGGCTCACGGGGCGGGGGGAGGGGGTGATGTTTGCACAGAGGAATCCTCCCTGGCCGCAGCTCGGGTGGGGCGGCCAAGGGGGCAAGAGGTGGGGGGCTGGGGAACCGAAGCTGGACCTGCCGTCCTTCCCCTACCCCCTGCCAGGGAAGGGGTTAATAACAAACCTGGGAGGGTTTGGGCGGTGAGTTAAAAAACACACCTTTTGGCCATTCTGGGAGCTCCCCTGCCAGCTTGGGTTGGCTGGGAGCTGCTCAGGTGGCAGCACCCCTAGCACTTGCTGGGGAATTGGAGTCACTGCGCCCACCGCGGGTGCAGGTGTCCTCCGAGGCTGCAGGCCGCCCCTTCCTCATCCCTGCCAGCTGCTGCCCCCCCCCACACCCCGCTGTGGCCACAGAACTGGGGTCTCTCCTGTCTCCCATGCCAGCCCTGCCTCTATCCCAATGACACTCCGGGGTGGCTTTAGGGCCAGGCCAGCAATCCAGCACGTGCTGCTTTGGGCATTCCTAATGTCATCCCGTTTGCAAAAACCGGTTTTCCTAAACAAGGCCTAGCTGGCAGGTGGCAGGGGTTGGGGTTACGACATGGATGCGTATTTTTGGGTTTCACCATTTCACTCACTACTGAAAGTCCTACCGGAGAGGAAACAGCTTGCTAGACTGCCTGGGGGAAGGAAGCTGCAGAGGAGCCCGGTGGGGGTGCAGGGGGCAGCGGCCCTGCTGGGCTCGGACCACAACTTGTCCAGCAGCAGCCAGGAGATGGGGGCATTTGACCTGAGCTTTAAGCAAGCTGACCCCCAGGAGGCCATGCTCCTCTCCCCATGGGTTCCTGGAAGCTGCCCCTCCCCCTCCCAGGTCCAGGCTCTCCACCTGCAGTCCTGGCTTCTCTAGCATTGGTCAGGAATGTGGAATTCCCAGGTTTGTGTCTGGTCTCTTTGCCTACAGAGTTCTCCTACCTGGTCAGACTGTGAGGGTCCCCTCTCCCCAAGCCTCTGGGCCTCTGTCCTTCCTTCTCCTCAGGAGTCTGTCTCCCCCTCCACCCCTCTCTCTCCAGCTCCTTACCATCTCCCCCTTTCTCTTGGGAGCCTTGGCCGTCCCTCCCCCTCTGCCCCCTGCCCCTTTAACCTTGGCAGCCTGACTTCTTGCCTGTGCCAGGTTTCCTGTGATGGTCCTAGCACAGCTCCAGGGACTACCCTTCGGCCCGGCCTGTGGCCTGCGATGCTGTCCATCTCCACGAGGCTCTCCTCTGCTTCTCCCTTTCTCACGGAGGAGCCTGAGGATGCTAGGGGACTTGGCAGGGCTCTACCTGCTGCCTTTCCTTCCAGTCCATGTGACCTTCCCAGCTGAAAGCCAAGCTCCTTGTCCCCAGCCCCTGCCCACCACAGTCCTCCTCCCCTTACCCTCAGCGCGGGGTCTCATTGCCCATCACCTCCCTAGTACTCAGCCCCCCACCTTCTCAGCCTGACCCATAGCTGCTCTGCTCCCCAAGACCTCACCCACCTGCACTCCCTCACAGTCAGTGCCTGCCTGCCTGGCTGACCGCTCAGAACAGGCCACCTCCGTATCCAGAGAGCTCTCTGATGTCATTAAATGCAGCCTGCCAGGTCCTCAGGAATGGAGCTGAAGCCTTCCTTCATGCCTTCGACCCCTCTGTGGGCTTCCTTCCCCAGAGCCCTACTCCTGTCTCTATTTGAAAAGCTTCCTCCTCCAGTCAGTTCTCCTTGGTCTCTCTGGCTGGAAGTGACCCAAGCCACCTCTAGAGCCGCTGTGTCTAGTGGGGAATGTCAGTGGAGTGTGGAGGGAGGGTCTGGGTTTTGGAGTCCCACCCTACCTACTCCCCTCTCTATGGAAGAATCTTCTAGACCCAAGCTTTCCTTTCATTGCCTTGGCCTTCACGGGGAGTCCCACGCAGCAGCCACTTCACAGTCTTTGCACTTCTTGAGAAGACACTGTCCGTAGTGCCGAGTCATCCTGTGTGGTTCATGGTATTTATTTAAGATGAAAATGGGGGTGGCTTGGGCAGTTTTCTCTTGTGCTCCGTTACAGCCATCTTGTATCCTCACTTTTTTCCCCCTTATGTTCTGGGTCAGTGTCCTGCACACAGAAAGTGCTTAATGCATGCATGGTGTTTTCAGAGGTTTGCTTCAAAAAGACCAGGGTGCAAGGACTTGGTGGATGGCACTGGCTGCAGTGCAGTTTCAGATTGTGTCCACTAGATGGTGCTGTCTGCCAACATCAGGAAGGGTTGGTCCGGCTGGGAAACAGTGGGTCGGATTAAATGTCTTCCAGGGTTAGGCTGTGTGTGCTGCAGAATTGTGCAATTGGAATTCCTGTTCTTTACGACCACCCTGCTGTCTGACAGTATGGAATTAGCCCCTGGTCAGTATGTGGAGGCCAGAGAAACATAGCCTGCCCCTCGAGGAGGGCAAAATAGGACAGGCATTCTCCTTCTTAGGGTGTGGAATCTTCACACCCTTCCCCCACAATCCCAATGGGTGCTGGGTGGCTCCAGCTGAGTGCCTCACCCTCTCTGAGCCTCAAACCAGGGGGTTGGTGGCTGTGCGTGACTCTGTCTAGCCACGATGATTTACTACAAAATCATGGCACTTAAAAACAATAGCATTTGCGATGGGCTATTAGCATAGCAGTTAAGGCCCTCGGCCCATACTGGAGTACCAGACCTCTGACTCCACCTTGTCTTTGTGTGGCCCCTGGGAGGCAGTGGCAATGGCTTACATACTTGGGATGCTGCTACCCATGCAGGAGACCCCATGTGGGCCCCCCAGCTGTGGCCACTGCAGTCACTTGAGGAGTAAACCCGTGGATGGGAGATGTGTGCTTGCTCTCTCTCTCACTCAGATGAGTAAGTGTGGGGCTAGCCTTGTGCCTGGGTCTCCCGCTTGCTGGTGAGTAAAGCCATGCTCTGTTTTCTGTTACGAAGCTCCTCTGTTCTCTTCTCCTGTGGATGGGGCTTGGATTGTTGCTAGTTTTAGTTTTATGTATAAAGCTACAGGACCCAGTTTTTATTTCTTTATTGTAAAGATTTATTTATTTTCCATAAAAGAGTTGTAAGAGACAGACAGGGAGCTCTTCAATGTGCTGATTCATTCCCCATGTGACTGCAATGGCTAGAGCTAAACCGATCTGAAGCCAGGAGCCAGGAGCCTCTTCTGGGCCTCCCCTGCAGGTGCAGGGTCCCAAGGCCCTGAGTCACCCTCGACTGCTTTCCCAGGCCACACGCAGGGAGCTGGATTGGAAGTGGAGCAGCTGGGACCAGAACTGGTGCCTACATGGGATCCTGGCATATGCAAGGTGAGGATTTAGCCACTAGGCAATGGCGCCAGGCCCTGTAAAATATCTTGAGTGTCAGGGTAAGCAGTGTAAGAGAGCCTCCCGGGGAGCTTAGGCAGGCTGTGATAGTCCTACGCACTCCTTTGCTTGCTGTTTGTCCAGTGGCTATTTAGTGAGCGCCTGCTATGTGCTGGGCATTGTGCCAAGCTTAGGAGATAAAGAACCTGGAAGGATGACAGATTGGGGTGGAAGGGGGACCCAGGCCACGTGGAGAGCAGGCAGAGCATCCTAGCCGGGAGGACTGAAGGCGAGAGAGATCAGTGTGGCCAGAGGCTGGACTGGGTCGGGGAGAGGCCAGGGCTCGGGCAGGGGCGGGTTTGCTGTGGAGCAGGCCTATGACAACCAGATTTGCATTTGGAGCGTCTACTGTGGCCCATGTGGTCGTGCGGACAGAGGCAGGGGTCAAGTGGAGGAGAGTGAAGTGAGTGCAGGTGCAATGACAAAGGTGAGATCTGGATGGGGGAGGGTGTCAGGTGACAGAGCTCAGGAGGCTTGGCGCTGTGGCCCAGTGAGTTAAACAGCCCTCTGCGACACTGGCATCCCGCATACATACCAGTTTCTGTCCCAGTTTCTTCCGATCTCTGTCAGTGAGCCTGGGAAAGCAGTGGAAGATGGCTGTTGGGGACCTGCACCCATGTGGGAGGTCTGGATGGAGTTTCCAAGCTCCTGGGGTCAGCCCAGTGCAGACCAGGCTGTTGGGACACTTGGAAAGTGAAATCAAGAATCTTGCTCTGTGGCTTTCTCTCTCTCTGCAACTCTGTCTTTCAAAGAAATAAATGTCTTTAATTTTAAAAAGTGAATAAATGCTAGGATATGGTTTTTTAAAATAAATCTGTTTGAAAGTCAGAGTTAACACAGAGAGGGCAGGAGAAAGAGAAAGGAGAGCGAGGTCTTAGATCTGCTGATCAACGCCCCCACACCAACTAACTACAGTGGCTGAATGGGCCAGTCCAAAGGCAGGAGCCTGGAGCTTCTTCCAGGTCTTTTGCCTGGGCACAGGAGCCCACACATTTGGCCATCCTCTGCTGCTTCCCCAGGCACATGAGCAGGGAGCTGGATCAGACGTGAAGCAGCTCAGACTCAAGCTGGCACCCACCTGGGATGCTGACGCTGCAGGCAGAGGTTTAATTTGCTGCATCACAAGGCTGTCCCAGGAGCTGACCATGTCAGAGGCCAGATTGGGAGCATGCTGGGGTCTGTTTGCAGGAGTGTGTGGTCTAGGGTGCCTGAGTGAGACTGTCCAGGCAGCATTTGATTCTAGCACTTAGAGAAGAGGTGAAGCTCAGCGGAGCCCTTGTGTGTGGCCTGCCTGTCTGTGTGGGTGGAGCTGGGGGCCGGAAGTAATGGCCCAGGGAGGAGGTGAGAC